GAGGTCTTTTTGATGCATGGCATAGAGTTGATGTCTCTTTTGATACTACTTTTGGTGGCTTTTTGGCCGAAATAAAAATAAAATAAAATAAAATACACAAAAAAAAAGTATTTTCCAATATAAGTAAAAACGGCCACATGGCACGAATAGAAAGGGGCACAGGGGGGAAATTTTGCGTAGTTGGGGCATCAAGGCCAAGCGCCATATTTGACCAGCTGGTGGTTAAAGCTAGGCGCAGGGGTGTGCACGCGTTTTCTAAAAACGGCTTTATCCCCTGCGCCATTTTAATCAATCAATAAAATTAAATTCATTTATTTATAAGCCTCAGAGTGCGGTGTTGCAATCCCAAGCGTGTGGTTCAGCGGTAAGGGTTGATCCACGCTTAAGCAAGGTCAGGGGTTCGAATTCTGCCTTGTGTGTGCAGCCGCGTTAAATCTTGGGGCCAGCTATCTCACCCTTTACGGTGCCTCCAACGTAGCGAGGAGATTAGTCACTACTATCGGCGGTGGATACTCCAAGGACGAAAAAAAAAAAGAGTGCAGTGTTGCCATTTTATTAATTACCAATTATTTCATCTCCTTTATTCCGTTAAATTTCTACAGTGGTACACAAAAAAGAGAGAGTCATTAATTGGCTTATTAAAAAAAAGATTAATTACTATGTGGTAACATTTTCTTACGTACTATTGTTGTTTATGACTAGGGGCGGGCAAAACGAACTGAACTGAACTGAACTTATAAAAACTATACTGAACTTAAAAGTAGTTCATATGAACTGAACTAAACTAAATATTAGTTCAGACGAACTGAACTGAACTATTCTTTTGTGTCATTGAACTGAACTGAACTATACTATAAAAACTTGAATTGAACTACAATTTAAACTGCACTAAACTGTTATGATATTTTGAATTGAACAATTTTGACTCATTGATCTATCAAAATAGGACACATTTGTCAACTTTACTTTATTTTCCATTTTATTTAAATTTTTCAAAGGAAAAAAATATAAAATTAAGTCAAACAAACTCAGTGAATTTTAAGCCTAAAAATAAGTAGTTCAACATAACTCAATTAATCCGTTAAGTTTGACAAAATTGATACAATTTTTTTTTTCAGATCACTTTTTTTCTAAAGTTTTGGTTATTAGACTATCGAGCTAATCCATTAAGACATAACATGTTAAACACATTTAATTTTTATTCTTTTATAAAAATAGTTCAATTTTTATAATTCAGTTCAGTTTTTATAGTTCAGTACAGTTCAATTTTACAACAGTTCAGTTCAGTTCAGTTTTTTTTAAACAGTTCAGTTCAATTTTTTTATAAACAGTTCAGTTTTTTATGGTACAATTCACTACCAGTTCAGTTCAGTTTAGTTTTTTTTGCCCACCCCTATTTATGACAATGATAAAACAAAAATCTGTTGGACTGTTGCATATAGCTATGAAAGAGCACGTAGATAAAAGCGATTTCCACTAATTCTAGACAATGATGATTCTACATTTAACTATTTAAGTATACATAATACATATAAAAGTGTTGCAAATAATTATTAGTATTTCACAATTTTTTTTTATAATATGCCTCAACCATAGTTTTTTTTATTCGAAAATTATTTTATTAATATACATATAGATCAATAGGCAAATTATTTGACTGATATAAATCTAATTAAACATTTTTCCAATTACACAATAGTTACATCTTTTAAGTATAACCAACTTTATATTCAATTATTCATCAATCAAAACCAAAAGATGATTTAACACAATAAGTAATATTTCTATTTAAAAAGAAGTGACAATTTGTTCATGCTAATTAAAGATAAAAGACACAGCAACTATCAATAATCTAATATGTAATGTTTGTCTTCAAAGTTTTACAATTTCGTGACTTTTGTTAATAAACTTCTTTCATGAATTTTGCCCTTCAACATACACAATATCACAAAAGTTATCCGACGCAGGAAAATTGTATTAAAAAATTATTACAAAATTATCTTAAATGTGATGGTTTTAGAAAAATTAACACAAAATTGTCTTAATTGTGATGTTTTTTTATGTGGGTCAAAATTCACTATATATATTTTATAAATTGGAGAAAAGTTACAATAAAAATATATTTAAAATAAAATTGTTAGACTGTAAAATGTTAGAGGCAAGAAGTGTCATTAAGAGGAAAAAAAGTGATAATGCTAATTAACCATCAAGTATATATTATTTTTTTGTCAAATGTCATTTTAATTACACTAATTATTCATAACTATTTACCAAAATCATATTATATTTGGTTCAGTAAGTCGTGATACTATAGTCAATTATTAATAAAATCCTTAGTATTTTTTTCATTTCCAAGATGTCGAGCAATATATTAAGGCTTTAATATGTTTCGAAAAACAATAACTTATCATTAATTATTCATCTATGAATATTCACCAAAATAATGTTGTAGTTAAAAAATTCATGATACTAATGAAACATCAAAGTACAACTTTGATTTAACACAATAAGTAATATTTCTATTTAAAAAGAAGTGACAATTTGTTCATGCTAATTAAAGATAAAAGACACAGCAGCTATCAATAATCTAATCTGTAATGTTTGTCTTCAAAGTTTTACAATTTCGTGACTTTTGTTAATAAACTTCTTTCATGAATTTTGCCCTTCAACATACACAATATCACAAAAGTTATCCGCCGCAGGAAAATTGTATTAAAAAATTATTACAAAATTATCTTAAATGTGATGGTTTTAGAAAAATTAACACAAAATTGTCTTAATTGTGATGTTTTTTTATGTGGGTCAAAATTCACTATATATATTTTATAAATTGGAGAAAAGTTACAATAAAAATATATTTAAAATAAAATTGTTAGACTGTAAAATGTTAGAGGCAAGAAGTGTCATTAAGAGGAAAAAAAGTGATAATGCTAATTAACCATCAAGTATATATTATTTTTTTGTCAAATGTCATTTTAATTACACTAATTATTCATAACTATTTACCAAAATCATATTATATTTGGTTCAGTAAGTCGTGATACTATAGTCAATTATTAATAAAATCCTTAGTATTTTTTTCATTTCCAAGATGTCGAGCAATATATTAAGGCTTTAATATGTTTCGAAAAACAATAACTTATCATTAATTATTCATCTATGAATATTCACCAAAATAATGTTGTAGTTAAAAAATTCATGATACTAATGAAACATCAAAGTACAACTTTGATTTAACACAATAAGTAATATTTCTATTTAAAAAGAAGTGACAATTTGTTCATGCTAATTAAAGATAAAAGACACAGCAGCTATCAATAATCTAATCTGTAATGTTTGTCTTCAAAGTTTTACAATTTCGTGACTTTTGTTAATAAACTTCTTTCATGAATTTTGCCCTTCAACATACACAATATCACAAAAGTTATCCGCCGCAGGAAAATTGTATTAAAAAATTATTACAAAATTATCTTAAATGTGATGGTTTTAGAAAAATTAACACAAAATTGTCTTAATTGTGATGTTTTTTTATGTGGGTCAAAATTCACTATATATATTTTATAAATTGGAGAAAAGTTACAAAAAAATATATTTAAAATAAAATTGTTAGACTGTAAAATGTTAGAGGCAAGAAGTATCATTAAAAGGAAAAAAAGTGATAATGCTAATTAACCATCAAGTATATATTATTTTTTTGTCAAATGTCATTTTAATTACACTAATTATTCATAACTATTTACAAAAATCATATTATATTTGGTTCAGTAAGTCGTGATACTATAGTCAATTGTTAATAAAATCCTTAGTATTTTTTTCACTTCCAAGATGTCGAGCAATATATTAAGGCTTTAATATGTTTCGAAAAACAATAACTTATCATTAATTATTCATCTATGAATATTCACCAAAATAATGTTGTAGTTAAAAAATTCATGATACTAATGAAACATCAAAGTACAACTTTATTTTGTTCCTCTTTTAAAATGTCAAGCAATCGAGATATATATATATAACAATTTAACTACAAAATTAAAATACTAAAATTAATAAAATCATTCCCACAAACAAGTACCCTATAGTTGGTCAAACATGGCATCTGGCTAGGTGTGTCAACTGCGCAAATCAAATAGCGCCTTTTCCCCTCACCTCTTTCTGTTCGTGCCATGTGGCGGTTTTTACTCATACCGGAAAATACTCTTTTTTTTCGTGTATTTTATTTTATTTTATTTTTATTTTGATAAAAAAAGCCACTTTTAGTAGTATTGTGTAGTTATACTTAATTGATACTTAAAAAGATATATTTGATCATTTGAGCAATTGTATAGTTATATATATATATATATATATATTATAAGTAGATTTGATTATTTTATTGTGATTATTTATTGATGAGTAAGTCATTATATTATCTTTTTGATGATTTTACTTGAATAATTATAATTCTAAATAAATTTTATTAATACAAAGAAAAACTAATATATTAAAAGTTATTGTTATTTTACTTTCATTAAATATAATGAAAAAATTTCAACAATACCCATTTAAAAAATGAAACAATACAATTTCAAGCACACTTAAATAAGATCAGGAGGTGTATGTAGCCGCGTTAAATTTTGGGTCAGCTTTAAAGTGTCTTTATTTTTAACATAATAAAAAGATTAGTTAGTGCTATCAACGATAGATAAGAACAAATCAAAAAGAAAATAAAAATGAAACAATACCGTTTCTAGTGATCACATTTTTTTATGAAAATATGGCGATGGCAGAAGCAGATAGTGGTGCACTTCATGACACTGGTGGTTTATTTAGTGTTAAAAAGTAGCGTGTAATTCACCATCTGCGAGATTGCGATGTTTTCATTTACTTATACAAAGAAGCCTCTTTATGTATGTTCCTTAACTTCCATGTTTTACCTCAAGTCTACAACAAACAAGCAAAAATTGCATTTATATATGCATTTTAATTTCAATTTACTCTTCCCCTTGACAAAAAATGATGGATAAACAGAGAATATTTAGTGATTGAATGAAATCCCAAAATTACAGAAAGTAATAACAACACCAACAAAACAAATATTCAATAATCATGATCTGGGTAGCATCATATGGGCAATGGGGTCTTTCTTCACCTTCCATTTCTTGAACTGTTTTGAGGCAGCTTTCAGTGCTCTTGCCCATCGCTGGATCAAATACGAAAACACAAGTTGTTTTCAGTAGATAACATTTAAAATTACCCCTTTCATTATCTAAAGATCTCAAACAAATGGAGTGAGCATGTATATGGAAAACAACTTCAACGAAAGTTTTAAAAGTAATATATTTTTTCGCAAATTTTGAGTCAAATATTAATAGATGTTTGCTCAATACCGGCATTCAGAATTTCAGATTCATAAAAAAAAAAAAAAAGAAAAAAAAACTCGTCGATTTCAATAAAATACGAAACAGAAAATAAAATATCGAAAACAAGGTAGAATCACAACCAGAAAAATGAGAAGAAAAAAAAATCGACGGCATTGATTTCCGCAGACCAAGTTTTCAACATCATTTAATTTGTTAGTTAGCTGAACTGGTTACTTTATTAGGTATTAATTAAAAATAAGATCTATTAATAGATAAAGACAAGTTATGTTGTATTTTTTTTCATTTCAATCATTCCCATCTTACTAATTTTCTTTGGGCATAATAAAGTTTCCTAACAACATTTATCACAAATTTTGAGTTCAGAAAGTAATGCCCATATTCAGATTTCTAAAACAAACCAAAAATAAAATGACACAAAACGTAAAAAAGAAGAGAAAACAGAAACATAAAAAAATTACCTTGTTCATGATGGGATTACAAGCACCTCTAAAGGGTGTTGGTGAGAAATCTGAAGGCCCCTTCTTGTTCTTACTCTTGCTATGTTTTTTGATGAAGTCAAGGTTGAGATTGAACTTGTTCCTAAGCTTAGAACCCACTTTGTTGACACTACATTTTGCTCCCAAACCCATGTCATAGGAAAGCTTCCTTGGAGTGATAAGATCCAAATCCATGGGACTATAGGGTCTGGGAAGCAAAGGGGACCAAATAGTGCTCTGAGAGTAGTCAAAGTCATAAGCAGAGTTATCTGGGAACTTGCACAAAAGCTCAATTGACATCTTTGGCACCAAATACTCCACCACTTTAGTAGTTTTCAAAACTAATGCTTGTTCTTCATCTTCTTTTTCTTGTTCTTGTGCTTCCACAAGTTGCTCTCTTTCAGATTCCATTGCAAGACACAAGTGGGTGTTTGTTTCTTTTGCTCTTTCACTCTCTCCCTCTCTCTCTTAATTTACTTTCTTTGCACCTAACACTTTGAAATGAAAGCTGTGGTCTTTGATGTTGCGTGCGAAAAAGGAAGAGAGAGACACAACACAACCACACACAAAGTAGCCGTTGCAAATTGTTATGTCTGTCTACTCCCCAATACACCATTCACATGATTTTCATTGATTTCCCCAGCATTCTTGGATTTTCACAGAATAAAAATAATAAAATATTTAATGTGATAATAAAATAAAGTACTTGCACATTTGAATTAATTTTTTTTAGAGAACACATTTGAATTAATTTGTTTTAAAATAATTGGTTTTCTAAAAAAAATTATGATCAATTAAACTAATTGAGAAACAATGGAATGAAGTAAGTAATAAGAGATTCACGTGATTTAATCAAATAGTTAGGTATCAAATTTTGATTCTTAAAAAGTTTAAATTAAAAAAGAATATTTACCTATTTGCCTCTTCGAGAAAAAATTGTCCTAAACAGTAAACAGATACTCTTTGATAATGAAAAAAATTAAATAAACAAATTTGACCATATTAATTTTGTTTACTATTTCGCGTCATGATGTTTAGTAAACATAAAGCTCTCGTCATCGGAAAAATTCATAGTTAAAGGTTTTATCTACTTATTCGAGAAAAAAACAAAAAAGAAATCGTTACTTTCAGTGATTCATTAATTAATAGAATACAAGATTTTTTTAAATTATAAAGATTAAAAATAATAATTTTAAATTTGAGAAATAAAAATAAATTTATACTAAATTTTAAAATTAAAAATATATTTCCTTAAAAAAATTAAAAATATATTTAATGCTATAAAGAATGTTCTGAAATTACATCTTGTAAGTGTTATAATTATGCAATCACATCATGTTGTGATTCATGTTCGTCTCCTTTTGCATCAAAATATTGTACAGGTGTTGGGGCGCAAGTAGTTTTAAAATGAGAGGATAATGTTCCTATTATCTCATAGCGTCTCTTTTTGCTAAACAGTTTCGAGATTGATGAACAGTGTTACGGTACTTATTAAATAAAATAAGAGAATATAAAATATAAGTCCATACAATGTTAAATAAAATTTTTAAATTTTATTATTTATCGAGAATAAGAAATTCGTTTGAGTCAAACATTTTTTTAATTTAAAACTAAAATAATTGTCAATTTATATTTTTAAAGACTTTTTTAATATAAGGGAGAAAATGTCAAATATAAGTTCATATAATGATAAATAAAATTCTTAAATTTTACTATTTATTGTTAATTGGTCCTGAATTTGCTTTAATCAAACATTTTTCTTGATTTTAGACTAAAATATTATCAATTTATATTTTTAAAGACTTTTATTTTTGTATTTTATAGATTAAAATGATAATAACTTTTAAACTCAATATAAAATGTGTAGGATGTTTCAAAAGGATTGAATTGAACAAAACTATTTTTTAACTAAACTGGACTACAAAAGTAATTCATATAAATTGAACTAAATTATAAAATAGTTCGATAAAATTAAACTATTGTTGAATTTAGTGAAGTATAATTCTAAAAATTCAAAATATCTTATAATTTAAAGTGAACTAAACCTTTTTTTATATATAAATTAAATTAAAGTATATGATAATTTTTAAAATTTTAAATTCTTTTATTTTTAAATTTATACTAATAAACTTAAATATATCCAATATAACTTAATTTGAAAAAACTATAAAAACACACCTCTTTTTTTTTTTTTTTCTTCATAAACTCAACTAAATTCCACGGTCCACATACCCAATTTCCAAGTAAATTGGTATGGTCATGAATCTAACATGAGAGAAATCCAAACGCACCAGATATTATTTCACATTTACAGTTATGAAGATTTAAATAGAGAATTGAACATAAAAAATAAAAATAAAAAAACAGTTCTCACAACTACGGTGGAATTTGACCTGGGTGCAAAAAAAAAATATTGAAAAAATAAAAAAACTCAACAAATTTACTATATATAATAATTATAATAAGATAATAATGTAATTTGTTATAATATTAATGCATGAATTATTTTTTTTTTAAATATATTACATGGACGTTGTATAGTAACTGTATGAAGTATTTATTCTTAAAAATGTATTATCGTTTTTTTACAAAGTACCTTCAAGAAGAAATGCATTAATTAATTAAATAAATACATAAACAAAATGAAATTTTAATAGTTTTTAAAATATAGATAAATAATGGACATATTTATTATAATTTATTTTATTTTATTATTTTAAGAAAATGAAAAAGTTAAATTAACTAAACTAATTATCGTTAAAACGGTATAAAATGGAGTTGTATAATGTATAGAGTAGAAAAAGAATTGAACACATCAAAACCCGTAGGATGCAGCAAGAAAAAATGTGTTTATTTATTGATAATTATTATTATCAATTCCATTTTCTCTTCTTTTCTTTCCTTCTATAGTTTCTCTTTTGTAGGGATGGTAAAATAAACTCAAATTCTACAAATACTCTTAAAAAATACCTTCATGCAAAACAAATAAATACTCGTTTATATAAGAATGAGTATGAACAAGATATATCCACAAAATTTTGTGGATGCAGGTTTGTGTATGGATACAATGTTCTGACTCTGCAATTATATATATATATATATATAGGATAA